TTTCTTCTTCAAAAGCAAAGGGCAAGAAATGATCTTTCCACCGATGTGTTTTATGGTGAATTCAGAGAGTTTAGTCATGTAGCAAACGCTCTGCATCAATTAAAACATCATAGCCATACCAATTAAAACATCATAGCTGCATTCTGTTCTCCTGATTTGTATCTGTTAAGTCACCAGCACTGTACTAGGCACTCTGTGGTAACACTTCGGAGCAGTAGTTTCCTGGTTACTACTGATGTTAGCACAGGTGATAAGGACAATTATGCCTAAACCAATTAATTGTGTTAACATAACCTAAGTGGTATGCATCTCTAGGTATGCACTGCCTTCCCCCTTCCTAAGGGATCATGGGTGCGCTTGTTTCCATGTGTGTGGCACCAAGGAGGACCGATGGCTCATGAGCCAAAGGAGCAGGGTAGGGAATTGCCGCATGGTTGTTGTCCTTTGTAGCTGATGTTTTTTATCTCAGTGGGGAAAAAATCAATGCAGTTGAACTGAATCCACCTCTGATGCAAGGCTATTAAACTGTGATGATGTTACAGTCACATCCAAGAAGTGACCCAGTACTTCCTCCCAGAGCTGAATGAAGACATGACCGCTCTAGCTTTAGTCTTTTGCCCTATAACTAAACTCAGCTCCCCAGCCAAAAAGCCCTCTGTGTCTTATTACCCATAGGTAATAAAGGCAAACACCATGACACTGATAGAAAAAGGCTTCCTGGCCTTCTGTCTGCCTAGCGCAGAGCTCCTGTACCCCCATGGTGCAAACTGAGCGCATTCAGAGGCAGGCAAGAGCGAGGTGTTTGCGCAGCAGGAAGCTGAGCTGAGCTTGCTTAGGGTGGGGAGGTGGTGAGTAGTGATAGGAGCATGTGTCCACTCATCCACGTCAACGCACCTTCCTGCTGCTGCGGTATGTGCTGAGCTCCTCCTTGTGTGGGGTGCAGATGAGCCAGCACACGTACCCCTTGGCAGTGACATGGGTTTGCATGGCCACTGCAGCCCGACCTCGTTACTTAAAACCAGTAGATAGCTGCCATTCCAACACGGTATCATACACCGTACTCCCACATCGCCATCAAGAAGACACAGTATAACCCAGGCTGTAAATCTGTGCATGCAAACACACCCGTATATACACACACAAATAGAGGAATTAGTTGAGGGTTTAAAAGAAACCCTGTCTTCCCAAGAACGTGAGTGATTGTAACTTCATAGCATAGCTAAATAATTGGTATGGGGGGAGTGTGGTTTAGAAGAGTCTGACTCAGCTTCACGTTGTGAATCTAGTTTTACCACTGCCTTTCGATGTGATCCTGAGCGGAGCTCTCAGCTTCCCTCCACTGTAATGCCTTTTGCTTAAAAAGACGAAGAAGAAGAACCATTCAGTCCCAGGTGAGGGTGGAGAGGAAAAGTTCACACTGAATAATGCTTGTGGAGGTGCTCTGGGTGAGTATCTCTGGTGAAGGGCACTACAGTATGATAATAATTGCATTGTCAATATGCTGTTAGGAAAAATGGTTTACTGTCATCTAAGGAGCTCTTCTGTAACTAATTCTTGTTCTTTTTGCATGGGGCTGATGGAAGTTCACTGCTCTAGACATCAAGGAGTGGATTATTTTAATGAGTGGTAATCAGTATTAAAGTTAGAAGCAGAATAATGCAGAACAAGGAAGTCATCCCAAAACGCACAGGGAGAACATACTCATCTGTGCTCAAGTATAACACATATTGAAAATACCACTTCTCCCTGTGTAGCTACGCTTGGGTGCTGGCGATGTTGGGGAGGAGTGTCTATACTAACATCTGGCCTGCTTTTGAGTGCTTCGATCAGCATCTGCATGTGATTGAGTTCTCAAGTTGGTCAGAAAAGCTGCTGAGGTTGACAGACAAGATAATAGGGGTCAGCTGCTTTTGTATAATTATGTATTCTATTTGGACAGGTAGGAAGGTGCCTTTCCATTCAGCAGTCTTCATGAAAAATAAAGGGTTTATGACAGCACATCTCTTGGGCAGAATATGGAGGATCACAGACAAACTGGGATTTTAGGATACAGGGATAATCCACTCTTGCAGTGCTGCAGACTGAGATTTATCAGCTACTCAGCCTTGGTTCTTATTTGCCCTTGCCTAAATCCTTTCGAAGGGTGACAGCATCCACAACCATTCAAATTGCAAGCAGGCCAAGTACAGAAGTCAGGGGGGTTTATTACAGGAGAAATGGAACAAAAAAAATTGGGAAGCTTACAGTAGAAACCATGTCATGGTGAATAAGGAGTCAGGCTTCAGTCCTGGGGAGAACTGGCATCCAGCCGAGTTTAAATTAGACGTTAGGTTTTTTCACTTCTTAAACTTGATCTTGGATTTCCTTCTGCCACCTCACATCCTTTTACAGGCAATAGCACTGTAGCCATGCATATTTATGACATTCAGGCATATTTTGCAAGTCACCTTCACAACTTCTCTTCTTTTCCTGGAAAAACTGGTTGGTTATGTAGAGACCGAATTTGCAAGTCTAATCTTCAGTGCTTATTAACCCTTATTAGCCTGGTTGCTCAATGGACAGATAAGTCTCCAGCCTTATTTGCAGTTTAATTTCCTTCTATATATTAAATCACAGCCCGTTCTTCTGTTTAGATTTCATAATCCAGATCCCTTCACACGTGAAAGCAACCTGCATGTTCAGCATCCCAGGAGAGAGCCAGTGGTCATGTTTGAGAGAGAGCAAGCACTGATTGCTAGTGCTATACACCTTCCTTCCGGGGAGCCACAGGCATGAGGAGCTGGTTTGCACACCTGCATATACTTTCTTTGCCTTAAGCTCATGGTGAAGCTACAGTAGAAAGGCAAATGCTATTTTTCCTCCTCAGACTTAAGAGATCTCTGAGTCTGAGCTAGAAGCACTCGCTCTATTTGCTTGTGGTTATTTCCAGACCTGCTGAAGGCCTAGAAAGCACAGCCACCAACACAAGCACAGTTGCTTATTGAGGCAGAGGTTGGTGTGCCAGGAAACAAGTTGTTGGAATAAACACAGCTGTGTTTTTCCCATTACAGTGTTCTCATTTACTGGGTCAGGCAGCCACATACCTTGTCTGTGCGAAGGTGCAGGGTGAATACATGTCCTTGGGAATAGCTAGGACTATAGGAGCTACTCTTGAACTTCATCTTGGATAGGGTTTTCCAATGTTTAAGACAAATATAGTTGTGGTTATAGCTATTAGAGGGAATGGTTAGAGCTTATTAATAGTGGGGAAACCAACCTGCTATGGGGTATACATACATATAGAGTATACGAAGGCAACCTTTGTAATTGAGTGTGCTTTCAACGCTTCCAATTCTACCATGACAGCCTTGTGCCCCCCACGTTCAGGTTACAGACAAACCCCTCGGAGTTCCCTGTGAAGAAGCCTTTTCCCTGTGAGGGGAAGAACCATTTTCTCTGCATCACTGCCCCTGAGAAGCTCCTGAACAGATTTTGACTGCGTTCCCCATGCAAATGTCAGCTCTGGGCAAACCCGCAGCCACAAAATGCTACAGCAGAGGGTTTCAGAGGGAACAGTGGCCTTGTGTCCAGGAGAATAGCCTGGAACACAGAGACTGCCCACAGGCAGCAAGACCCAAGGGACCAGGCAGGGCTAGGAAGCAGTTCATGTTCCAGCACTGGAGCAATTCCCATTGCTGCACCGAGTTAAGCTCATCTTCACCACCAGGCTTAGGCTGGCTGACGGGCATCTCTGACCCTCAGTTTCACTTCAAAGACAAGTTGGAATGATTCCGAAAAGCAGGATTTTCAGTACAGTCATAGGGTTTGTCCTGGGCCAGCAGAGATGTCTGCATTAGGTTAGTGCTGCTGGATCCCCTATGGAGTGTGGAGCTCCCACCAGGCTGTAAGAAAACCCTCATGGCTTCAGCATTCAGGCAGAGGCATCTGTCACATGCCAACAGCACGACAAAAGGACTTGAAGCCATGAGTTGTAAGGCTCAGTGGAAAAGTAGCCTTGAGTTACCTGGATGCAAAAGAGAGAATTCAGCACCTGTGGCAATGAACAAAGTCAGGCCCTGTTATCAGCTTGGACCAGTGCCACCAGCAGGGACAATCTGCTGTTTCCAAGGTGCTATTTCAGCTACAGCTGGACCTGGTCTGGGGATGCAATGCTGGGATTATCACCACAACAGGTTTGGGAAGCAAAGGCTCCCTTCCTGAAATTCACTGTAGTCTTTGCAATAAAACTAATCCAATCGTATCCTCCAATTCCCCTTTCTGCAGCACGGCCTGGGAGAGACACATGGGAAACAATCCAAGTGCCTTTTCCAGCACCTCATGTACAAACAAACATCATCCTAGCAGCACTTCCCAGGGTGAGCTGCCTTCACCAGGTCCCAGCTTCCAATCCCCCCCCCCCCCCCCCCCAGTTTTTCAATTAAGTAGAAATTAATTCCACTTCCATGAACCATTGGCCACATTCTGCTCCCAGGCACTGATAATAATGCAGAATGAATCACTTGCTGCCAGCGCTGGGTGGAACCCCCAACCTCGTCACAGGCACACAGGGCAAACTTCCATCAAGCAGGAATGCGTTGCCGTTTACGGAAGGGGTGAACCGCGGAGTGCGGAGCGTGACAGAGGTTTCCTAAGGGGAGGGAGATAAGACAAGGAGAGCTCTCATTCTTCCAAGGCACAGATTTTTATCACAGCACAAAATCAAGCAGCTGAAAAGATTCCAGTCACAAAGCGCTGTTCTTTGAGAACGGGTTAGGCTGCTTGCCCTTGTGTAGGGACCGACTGCCACATGGCATCTGGGATGGAAACGAGTCCTTAACCAGGTTATTCCTATGGCTCATGGCCATTATCAGATCCTAAAGGCTTTTACATACCTAATTCTCTGCAGGTTCTTCTTGTCATCCCCTGCAAGGCAGCTAGAACATGGACAGTAGATACACACAGATGAACGTTACCCTGAAAACCCTGAACGCAAACAACACCCCCACTACATTGGCTCCATGTTGAGTGGCAGAGGTAGTATTTTATTTTCTGAGCATCCCTCCTCAAGGACACTAAAGAGGTTGTAAAACATCACTAAATGGAAACAAAACATCGCCAACAACAGGAACGCAAACCTGCTGGAAAGGAAAGAGCAGCAGCATTCAGGTATCAGAAAACATGAGAGCTAAAGTGCTTGAGATAATGTCTTAACTACGCACAGTCAAGTCTCTCTTCCCCATAGAAATGCTAGTTTTCAACAGCACCTGCCTGGCTGCATAGGTTTCTTCACCAGTCTATGGCAGGATAACATTACTAAGCCAGAGCCATTACCCAGAAGGGGTAGGAGCAACATAGTTCTCTCTCTCCCTCATACTAGAAGTAAGTTAATAAATAATACTCAAAGGAACACATTTGAAAGTTCAGGCAGCTCAGGTGGGACTTCAAGGGAAGCAACCATAGAGATTTCCCATGCAGAAGTCACCAGCGTGGCCTGAAGCTGAACAAAGCTTTGGTGGGATTCATAAAGTGCTGTCTTTTACTATTTTGTGCCTGTCTTTAGCAGTGTTTTCCCTCAAACCAGCACCAGGGTTTGTGAGTTAAAAAGATTCTGAAATAAAAGAGACCAATTTTCAGTGGATGTTGGAGACAGGCAATTGCACAGTGCACATGAAGAGAGTAAAAAGAACCCAAAACCAACCCAAACAACAGAAAACCCCAAACCTACCCCAATTATGGTAAAACTTTTCACCCTTAAAAACAAACACCCACCAAGCACCAAGAGCAAATCTGAAAGCAACATCTGCCTCCTGGTTCCCCGGCTCGCTCCAGCAAGGATGGTTACTACATGGTACAAGCTCAGCAGCAATGGTTGTGAGCCTGAGCCTGCAGGCACTCAGTGCAAAACTCTCCCTGTGCTCAGCCCCATGGGAGTGATCCAGTTTTCACTGAAGCCAAAGGGAGCTCCCTACAGACTTCAGCAGACTTTGGATGGGCCCCAATGACCGAGAGTGGGAACAGAACCTTGGTTTACAGTCAGTTTTTCTATCCAGCCACAAAAGCCACCCCCTGAAATTCCTGAAGGGGTTTTCAATCTTCCCCTCCATGCATGCATTTGACATCCAGTACAGTTAATAGCAGTTACACATGCATATCGATGGGAGAAAAAGTCCCAGTCGAGTGGAATTACTGGTAGTAAGAAAAGAAACCCAGCAGAAACGCTGGGAATCCCTAAAGACCCAACTCCCTCCGGTGAATCCGTTTCCCTGTTTAAACCAGCCGGCATTTAGCCTGCTGGGCTGCAATGCAGGAAGCTCTATAGTGTGTGTTGGTGTGTGCACGGGGGTGTGAGCAAACGGGCGGCGTTCTGCGGACAAGCCACCTCCTGTCCCAGCATCCCAGCAAGCATCCGGAGCGCCGACCATCGCCGCTCTCACTTGTGAGCGCTGCTGTTGTAATCGTCCTGTGCCACGGAATGGTCTATCCTGAACTCCTCCTCCAGCCCACCGGGCGCCTTCACTGCATCCCCCCGGGCTGCAGGTTGGAGACTGTCTGCGCCGGCCCCCTCCAGTCCCAGGATCTGTCTCTGCACCAGCTTGGAATAAAGGCCTCCTTCTTCCATGAGCTGCTTGTGCGAGCCCTGCTGCACCACGCGGCCCTTGTCCAGCACAATGATGTTGTGTGCCTTCTCCACAGTGCTCAGCCTGTGAGCTATGACAAGCACTGTGTGGTTCTGCAAGTCGCCGTAGATGGCCTGCTGGATCTGTGCGGGAGGAAAAGACGTTAGTGCCTGAGCATCAATGGCTCTGCTTCGGAAGGAAGAACAGCAGCTTTGTAGTCTCTTTTAAGAAACCTCTGGACAAGGGATTTGCTCTCCTTTGGCTACAGAGGACACAAGACTCCCTGCAGCACTACTAGCACCAGCATGTCCATCCCAGCTCTTGCTCTGCAACCAAAAGACTGTCTCAGTGCAGCCAGCCCTCAGATATGCACACAGGTCTGATCCTGCAAACTGAGTGCTTGTTGGAGTTGGACCCCAGATTTGGAGGCCACGAGGTGTTGGCACGGACTGCAGGAAGCCAACACTGCTCAGAAAAGGGGGGCTATTTCCTCAGCGCATCAAGGCAAAGCAAGAGAGAGGTGTTTTCCAGCCAAGAGACAGACAAGTAGCACTAAGGTCTAAAGGCAGGCAGATGGCCACCAGGCAGGTGTCACATTGACACCCCTGGCTAGCCAAAACTAACTCCTGTCTGGCATTGGGTACCATGCACATGGCTGAGGATCTGCAAGCCAACAGGCTGCTCCAAGATCGGATGCTCATACTGCTCTGCTCCATGGGCCAGCAGTGCTCATCCTCTGGGACTGGGAGACATCCTCACACCTCAAGTTTGAGCTATTCTCCTTCACATCATTGAACAAGTGAGGCCAAACTGCTACTGGCAGAGCTGTCGCATCCCAGCCACATAAACGAGCTCAGTTTACGTTCCTACAAGCGTGGCTTCTTTGGTGCCTTAGCTGGGATTTTAGCTCAGGCAGTCCTGCTCTCCCTACTGCAGTACCAGTTTCAGGGTCTTCCTCAGGATTCCATCCTAAAAGGCTGCACAGAGTTGCCATATGCCAGTTAACACTTCCCACATTTAAAAAGGTCAGAGATCCCCATCTCACCAGGTTCATCAGGTGCCGGCTGCTGTGAGCATAGGATTTTCCCTTCTTGGTTGATTATTCTTGATTATTCCCTTCCAATGTTACAGCAGCATTGGAAACAAATTCCTGCTCAGGAATTAGCATCCTACCCAAACCTCTGATTGCACCATGTCAAGACTAAGCTTGCCCACCGGCTGGAAACTGAAGCTGCAGCCTTTCCTCCAAACCCAGACTGCCTCTTTGGCCCAAACACGAGTCACCTACTCACCGCGTGTTCGCTCTCTGCGTCCAGTGCACTTGTGGCTTCATCCAGGATTAGGATGGGGGGGGTTCGGATCAAGGCTCTGGCAATTGCCACTCTCTGCTTCTGGCCACCTGAGAGCTGGGCTCCTTTTTCACCTGCCTCTGTTGGGTTAAGGTAGAGAGGAAAAGGGTCAAGTTAAAATCAAGAGCTGCCATCAAGTTCAGCTCCCAGCCACAGCACCAGGACGGCGTCACACTTTGAAGCAAAGACCATGTAAATGCTTCTGCTCACTTGGCAAAGCAACATAAATGAGCAAAACATCCCTGAGGCTGCTGTCCTTCCCTCCAGCAGCAAGTTCTCCACTGTTGTCCCAGGGTTTGAGGGACTGATGCTCATGGAAACAAGGCAGAAGTCCTTGAGACCATCCAAACTCAAACTCCCCTGCTCACCCATAAACACAAGCCATTGTCAGCCTGAGCTGCCCCTTCTCAAAGGCCCACTGTCACAAATACACCAGCTTTTATTACTCTGCATTTATCACAGGTTTATTTTCTTCCTCTGTAGGTGAAGTTCTGAGCTTGTCTCCTGATCCCTGCACTGAAGAGGGTTGAGACTGCCAGTGCCACATCTCCATAACACTGCCAGGCACCGGGAGCTGGACTGGTCAGGATGGGATGGGGAATGCTCATCCTTTTGCCTGGAATGGGCTCAGAAATCCTGCAGCAGCTCAGTCACCCCAAAAGGCAGCCAGGGTTCTGCACCTCTCCATGTAGCTGCCCTACACCACCACCAAGGTGCCAAGGATCCATGTCCATCACTACCTGCCTGACTTTCCACCCAAGGGGAGAGTTTGTTTTCCCTAGGAAAGTGCAAGTCCAAACAGAGGGATTTTGGTACCTGTGTGGTATCCATCCTGTAACTCCATGATGAAGGAGTGTGCATTGGCCTTCTGGGCAGCCTGGACCACTGACTCGAAGGAGGCTGAAGTTAAGCCATAAGAAATGTTATCTGCAATAGAGCGGGCGAACAGCACCGGCTCTTGGCTCACCAGGGAGATCTGCAGAGAGGAAGGGAAGAGCAGGGGGTTGGAAGCAGAAGATGCACTGGCCGGTATCACAGATCATCAGCTTTTGCTCCTGCTGGGTAAGACTCAAGCAGAGCCCCACCATTAAACCAAGATACAGAAACTCCCATCACCGTTTGCTCTTCCCAGAATGGGAACCAGTTGCAGGGACAAGGCAGGCTGGAAAAACCCTCTCTTAGGCTTTTGCTGATTTCCTCTTCAAGGCCAGTAATCATGCTTGGCCTCTCCTGCATCTTTCAATCCAAAATTAGCAAGTTAGGGACATAGCTGCTGCAATCCCTTAATTGCTTAGCAACAGCCTCCCTGTCCTACCTTACAGCCACTGCTGCTCGCTCACGCATTCAAGGCTTTGTCAAACCTTCAAGACTGGAATAAACTGAACCCTCCAAATTATTGCTCAGCACTGGGCATGGAGAGAGCCAGTGGGACATGGTCATATTTTAATTGACTTCCCCCCATGCTCCTGATGCCACACCAGGCTTTCTAAACTGAAAGACTCGCTTGTCTTTTAATGCTCCCTCGGTACGGGCAGGGAATGTAAATCAGTCACAGTGACTCTGGCTTCCCCTCCTGTCTCTCATCAGTTGTTTGCAGGTTTTCCTGCTGACTGGTGAGGCCATTTGCTCTGGAGGCAAACAAAGAAAGCAGTTACTTGCAGAGGAGATGAAGGCTCATCTGTGCTGAGACACGGATGAGAGCCAAGGGGCCCAGACCCCTCTCTTAGGCAAACCATCCAGCCCCTTTAATGCTCCACTTGCTGCCAGGGTCCTGAGGTGTTTAACTCCCCATTATCTGAGATTTACTTTACGATCTTAAGGCAGAAAGTGCTGGAGGAATGCAAAACTCTTCTTGCAAACCCGATTTAGATGACGATTAATCCAACAACCATAAACATATTTCTACTGTGTCAGCCAAAAGATACAACACAAAACATGGGTTTTGTTCTGGCTTCAGATGGCTTCCCCCTCCCCATGAAACCACTCCATCCCTTCCCTTCCACCCCCACTGATTATCCGAATTAGTTTCCTGGACCACCTCCAGCTTTCTGGACATCTCAAAAGTTGCCAGATCAACTCCCAGGCAACATGCATCACTACCATCCATCCATCCATCCATCCATCCATCCATCCATCCCCTCTGCTCAGGCGATAGCTAGAATACACGTATCAGTCGCTCGTACCACTGAGTGCAGGTACTTGTGATCGTACATGTTAATGGGATGCCCGTCCAGCAGCACCTGCCCGTCTTGCAGAGGGTAGAAGTTCTCCAGGATGTTGACACAGGAGCTCTTCCCACTCCCCGAAGGACCCACCAGTGCGGTCACTTTGCCGGGGTGCAGGGTGAAGGACACATTCTGCAACGTGCATGGGAGAGCATGCTCAGGTCCTGGCTTTTCCCAAGGGAAAGCAGCTTGGACACCAGGCAAGAAAGGTAGACACAGTCTGGCCACGGTGACCCTCCACCATGGCATTGTGCTACATCAGCCATCTCTCCTAGCTCCAAATCTGCCTCCTGTTGTAGCAGGACCTCTAAAACCAGCCGAGCAAACTAACCTCCCTGCTGCCTCCCCCCGCCTCATGACCTCAGCCCCTCTCCCATGGAAACAGCTCAAGGCAGCTTGGCAGAAAGCCCTGTACCACGCTGACGTGTTAATGCCTGAGCAGGGAACAAAGGTTTCATTAAGAAATCTCATTCCCTGTGAGGAAGGTCGGCCCTAAACACCCACTGTTCCTTATAATCTGTTTTCCAGCATGCCACTGAGCTTGCCTTTATGCATCTCCAAAAGGGCAGCTGACACTTCCCATGCGATGGGTTATTGGCCATGATGGAGAAGTGATGCGTGATGCCTCGTGGTGGGGAGCACTCTGCCCATGGGGCTCACCTGCAGGACCTGTGTTGCAGAGCGAGTGCGGTAGGAGAAGGTCACGTTCCTGAACTCCACCTTCCCATCCACATGGTCTGGGGCCAGGGACCCATCATTCACCATCGTTGGCTTGCGGTCGATGAACTCAAACACCTTCTCCGCAGCTCCCACTCCCTGCATCAGGCCGCTGTAGACGGAGCCAACGGACTGGAAGGGAAGAGCAACGGTGAGACCCTCCCATGCAATGGAAGTCAGTCAGTGCCACTCACAGGGAGAATGGTTGAAGCATTCCCAAGCCTTCTATCATCTGACATGAACTACAGCCATCAGACACAAGGGAAGAAAGGTCTTCCCCCTCTGCAGGGTACGGAAGGGGATATACAGATGCAACCAGGGAAAGGGTATCTAAGAGGATGATGTGCATGGGTAGACTAAGAGGGGAACAGGAGGAGGAAACACATGGACTGGGAAGAGATGTGCACCAGGAGATACATGACCCAAAGCTCCAACAAAATTCTTCACCCATCTCTTTGCTCAAGACCAGCAGCTCCCCAGCACAGTGGCTGAACAGAATCCATGTACTGCAGTGCATCACTCCAGCCCCTAACGATGGCTAGCTCATTCCCTAACACACGTGTTCCAAATGCAGAGCAGCCCCAGGCTGAACCCTTTAAGCAACTGTTTGGCAGCTGATAAGGCCGTTTCCTGATGGGATATATTCCTAGTGGATTTACCATTGGACTTTCCCAAGTACAGCTGCTGCATACTGACACTGGCTTCCCTGGAATAAACCCATCACATCTGCCCTTTTCAGTATTAAACCTAGAGCTGCAGAACAGCTTATACTGCAACTGCCTTTCCCATCAGGAGAGGGGAAAAAAACCCCAAACCAAGCCAAACACACCCCAAAACCGCAGCCTGGAAACACCACCAGAGCCTGCAGCCATCTGAACAGATGGTGAGAGCTGGGCAAGCTGCCTCCAGCTCTGCTCTGCCACTGCATGAAGGCTGAAGCACCACCAAAACCACTCCTGGCTGCGAGGAAACCTCGGCTTGATGGTTTCTGCCTTGATTAGCCAAGCTTATGCCTTCACAAGGGGAAGGCAGCCCTGGGTGGGCTCCACCATCCCACCCACAATCCCATCATGCTAATGCGCTGCCAACGCAGCAGCTTGCAGCCTATCCCTGGGAATAGAAAGGAAAGAAAGAAAGGAAGAAAAACGAATATAATTGAGTTTTTAAATGAAGCCTGAAATTTAACAGGCAGCTTCGTAATCCCTGCATCCTTCACACCAGGAAAAATGCCTGGGAGGCAGCCAGGACTCTGCCCTTCAGCAGGGCCAGCCTAATCCCTTTGGTCCCAATTGCCTTTTCAGGGGACAGGCAGCACATTCAGGTTGCAAGGAGGGGAGCAGAGGGAAGAATCAACCCACCGGTGAGCAAAAGCTACAGCACGAAGGAAATGCATTGCAGGAAAGCCAACACTGCCCTGGGACCTTCACGAAGATGAACATCATCTCGATACAGGGTAGCCCAGAGGGATAAACCAGCCTCACCTCCATGCAGTCTCCTAAGACGAACTCATAAATGATGAAGGATATCAGGTTTCCACTTGTCATCTGCCCCGAGATCACGAGATGCCCACCGTAGTAAAGGATGCTGACTTGGACCACCAGGAGAGTCAGCTGAAAGCAAGACAACACCCCCAAAATCAGCAAGGATAAGTGGCATTTTGATGCCTTTGCAATTACTCACACAACAGCCCACAATTTGTGTGCTGACATTTATTCTGAGCCCCAAACCGAGGATCCCTGACAGCTCTGGCAGTGAGCATGGATATGGAAAAACAACTCAACATGGGCTGATTTAAGGAGCTGGGCTGGCATCTTTCAACAAAACACAGGTCCAGAGGGACAACAGCCAAGGAGGCAGAGTTTATCTGAAATAACAGAGCATCTCATGAACCTCTCTTGTGGGCTAACATCCCCAAGCATAATCACATGTACCCAAAGGATGCAGTCACCTCACCACCAAAATAAACTTTCTGTATATGACATTTTGATTTAGAACACAAAATCATGGCAACACAAAAAGTACTCCTCCTTTGTACATGTCTCTGAAGCATAACCTCAGCTCTTGGCTGAAATCAGTGCAGGGGGTACCACCTACTCTAGAGAGGAGACAGATGAGCTCTGATATGACAAATACCAGCCCCTGCCTTTCTTCATCAGGTTCTGTTGCATGCTGCCCGAGTGCTCAGAAAAGCAGTGATGCTCTGGTGCTCCGTGTGGTGTCTGTGGGACAAAAACACTGAGGGAAAGAATTCCTCCTCTATTGCCCTGCCATGATCTGACCTTAAGATCCTGTGCTCCCTCCAAAACAGACTCTACCTGGGCTGTGCTAAATCCTTTGATTTCTTTATGCACGAGCCCTGCAGGAGCAGCTTTTAAAGGGTTCTGCCTCCTTTGTCTTGGCAGGATCTGTGCCGACCCAGTTCACATTCCAGCTCCACCTGGGAGCCCAGGAACAATGCTAAACATGCTGCACTTTTGCTTCCAGGCTTAGGAAGCCATCAAGTCTCCCACAGCTGCATGAGGGCACCATAACTCACAAACCCTTCGCCAGGGGGTACTTAGAATGTGCAGAGATAAGGGCAGCCTCACACGAGGGTTTTGCACAGCCTTTGTTATCAGCCGATGCAGAAGTCCCAAACCATCTGGTTTTCAACGATGACACAGAAATTGGGGAAAAAAAAAAAACAGAAGAAACAACCAAAAACCAGCCCCAAACCCCATCAGCCTCCCCCTGCCACCACCCCCCAGAAAATCTGCTTGTGAGCAGGAGCTCAACCAACGCTGTGGCTGTTTCCCAGCCGGAGCCCCGGGGATGAGCTGGCACAGGCACGCAATGCAGCAAGGCAGAGCACGGGGTTTTCCACGACCTTGAGCAGTTATCAATTCCATTATTATTTGCAAGAGAAACCAGGCTGTTCAGTGGCACGGCACAGCTGCCCTAAGGGGGAACGGAATATACTCTGAGGAGTAGGAAAGTAATAATGAAGAGACAGAGCATCACTGACAGCGGATATTAAAGCTGGGCTCACCCCATAAAGCTCCTTGGAAGTGGAAAAGCGCCACTGCACCGTGTGCATTTGGGGATCTGAAGCAATTCCCTACCCATTCCCAGCTCCCCATAGGGAGCCGCTTACCCCGCTGGACCAGACGTAGTAGGTGTAAGCCAGGGCCTCCCGCTTGTTGAGCTTGTAAACCTGCTGCAGCTTCTGCCAGTACACGTTTGCCTCCGCTTCCTCGTTGGCAAAGCTGCGGATGGTCTTCATGGCAGAGATGGTCTCCTCAGCAGTGTTGTTTGCCTTGGCCAGGGCGTTCTGCACATCCTTGGAGAGCTTCTGCAGGGAGCAGGGGGGAGGCAGAGAGGGCTCAGCAGGCGCTGGGCTGCCCATGGAGCATCTCCCCACACGCCCCGGGCTCTGCTGGGCTCGGGAAAAGAAGGCACAGGTGACATCTTCCAGGCCGTGGGCAACAGGGCTGAGCACTGGGATGAATCCCACACTTTGTGCCAGGGGGAGAATGGATTCATTGTGCTGTCCCCAAGGAAGGACTTGGCTTGCAGGAGGTGAAATGCCCCGTCTGGGGCCACTTGGGAAGCCTGGGGCAGGCTTCCTGCTGATGGGATAGGGTCAGCCTGGCCCAGGAGCCCTTCCAGGGGTTTCCAAGTAAAAGGGACGGGTCTGGAGACCAAGGGGAGCTCCTCTCACAAGCTTCTGACCCACAGCAGGAGCTGGCATTAGCTATGGGGAACAGCCTTTGGCCCCACACTAGCCCCAGGCAGAGTGGGGAGCTCAGCACTGGGTTTAACCCCCACTGAGTCACGGCAAAATGACAGGAGAGACTGCCCAAGGACAGGCACATACAGGACATCCCATGGCCAAACTGCCTCTCCTGTCAGACCCAAGACGTTTCCACTTCTGAGCATGAAGCAAGGAAGAGCCGAGGCTACAGTTACCTGCCCATACATGTTTAATGCTGCCATCCTGCCCCCGCTGCCAGTGGAAAAGCACTCAGATATCAGTCCCACCACTTCCAAAGCCACCCACAGCCTCCACAATGGCTTCAGGAGGGGAACAGCCCAGCACTGCAGCACATCACAGCCACGCCGGCTACTCCTGCCTACCTTGTAGTACTTCCCATAGACATCAGACACCAGCATGATGATGGGGAAGCCCATGAAAGTGACGAGCGAGAGCTTCCAGGAGAGGCTGAACATGAAGAAGATCACCCCTGTGGCCTTCACCACGTTGCGCAGGAAGATGTTGATGTTCTGGGAGACCAGGTCACTCACGATGGTCGTGTCCGACGTCAGGCGGGAGATGACGTCCCCTGCAGCAACAAGGGGTAGGGGAAGGGGAGAGCAGGGACATGTCACCACTGCCTAGCCACATTCCACGCCAGGGGCCACATGGAGCTCTCCATTCAACCCATTCCCTCACTGGGGTATAAAGGGTGGCATGGAAGGGGGGAGACTCCACCACTGTGGATGTGAAGCAAAACGGAGGAGCTTGGATTGCTGCATGCAGGAGGGACACCAAGAACAGCCCCAGGACAGCAAAGGGGACCATGGCAGCATCCTATACTGGTGTGCACCCTGTAGGCACATAGGTGCATGCATGGAGTGTTTGCTGGACCACTGAATGCACCTCCAGAGCTGTTAACCCAATCCCAACTTATATCCAGTTGATGTCAGGAGCCCACCAGAAGCTGCCTGCACTTTTCCTCACCATCCCGGCAGGACCAGCCAGGGCTGCTTGGGTTTATCCATGTGCTCTGCAGCCTAGAGCTGCAAAGGACATGGGCTTAGCTACTAAGGAGTGAAGCTCCTGTGGTGCTTGTTGGTGGAGCTGAATGCTACAGCCAGCAAACATCACCCTCAGTTCCTGAATACTCCATACTGCTTGAGTCCAGCTGAATTCCCACATTTTTGTTTAAGTCCAGGGTTACCCGTATCCCGCTTCCAACATCATCTCTGATGTCCTCAGCTACCAGGGCACTGTGCAGCTATTGCTAAATACAGCAACAGCCTCAAAACTAAAAATACCAAGACTAAATTAAATGGGCAAGAAGTTACAGTGTGCTGGGACCATGCCAGAGCAGCACGGACCGGGACAGGATGAACTGCAAGCAGGGAGAGCGACGGGCACATCCAGCAAGCTTCACACATCTGAGGTTTCTGATGCCTGCAGCAGAACTGGAGAGTGGCCACCAGCAAGCACTGACAGGAGGGATGGGAGGAGGAAAGCGGGTGTTTTGGGGATGAATGGAGATGAGCATGGGGGACTGCGGAATGTCAGGCTGATGGTGGCAATGGGACATCCCCAGGGTGCTGGGCAATCCCATCCCAACCCCATAATAGGGGGAAACCAAAGGGAAGAGCTTTCTGCTGCTATTTCTAAACACAAGCACTTGGGTGCTGCCTCTGGCTGTGTGCTGGTGGGGCAAGCCAAGGGAAACACAACACTGGGATGGGATAGAGCAAATCCAAGGGGAAGAGGAACCTACCTGTGCGATTCTCATCAAAGAAGCTCATCTCCTGAGCCACCAGTGACCTGAAGAGGCAGTTGCGGAGGCGAATGTTCAGTCTTGCAAATATGAGTGTAAAAACGCCGCCCCGGATACCTGCGGCAAATGAGCTAATTGCAGATAAGAAACGTTATAGACCAATGGACATGAAACCCAGCCCCAGCAACACAAACACCCCAATGCCCAAGGGCTTGGTACCACTTCCCAGCCTAGGAAGTGATGGCTAAACCAGCCCGCACCTCTTCTGGGTGCTACCAGCATGGGGATGGCTGGTCCTAACCCCAGTAGTGATAAACTTCCAGAGGGGACTCTGCTGCTGGGACAGCATTCCTTTGGAAACCCGCTCCCTGGGTGTGTTCCTGCTCCCCCATCACCAGCAGACAGATGCGGAGGGCTACACCACAGCCTCACGAGTGCCACCACGTCCTCTCTGCACTGTGGTAGCACAGAGAAATCAAAGCACATCCCTGGAGGCTGGTAGGGACATGGCAATGGGACAGCCCATGCCCACTGCCACTGTGAGCTCCTATGAGAAAACCCCAATTCCTCCTATTCAGAGCCAAAACCAGCCCCTGCAATTACCTTCCTATGGCGAGCAGCGACATGACCAGCACTGCCGTGGAGAAGCGGTCCATGCTCTTCTGTACCACGATGCCATCAATGGCCAGCCCCGTGTAGTAGGGCAGGAAGGTCTCTCCTGCCAGACAAGCACAGGACATGGGGGTTGAGCTCCATGGCATGGGATCAGCACAGGATCAGTATTCCAACTGTGACGGCTTGTGGACAACCCCATTCCCACCATAGAGAGACTTGCTCATCACACAAGATGCCACAGGAGGTGCAGCCCTCGGCGGCACATGGGGATGTTTCATTTCCCAGTGTATTTTATCCCCTTTTTCTTTGCCTCATTGCATTTTTTATCCATCCTGTGCGGGACATGCAACCCAGCAACCCCAAAACCCAATCCTGGGATGCTGTCAAGCCCCCCACTATGGCTCCATCCTGGTGAGGATGGGAGCGCACCACAGCTCCCCACGTCCCTTCACTCACCCAGGGCAGCCACGAGGAGGAAGAAGGAGGCAATGCCCAGGAAGAAGGCATCTGGCTTGGTGTAGGACAGCAGTTTATGGATGGTGGGACCCGCTGCCTCCTCCCGCTTGTCCCGTGGGGTTCCCCCATCACAGCTCTCCTCTGCCTCAGCACGGGATCCAGCACCAGGCCCCAGCGCCTCGCGGGAAGAGGTGACACAAGCCAGAAGCTGCCACAGCCCGAAGGTGGCCGCCAGCGCCACGTAGGTCCAGGCAAAGAGCCCCCAGAACCAGGGGTCCCTGATGGTCCTCCGCACCTCCGAGTAGAGCAGCAGCTTCACCATCATGTAGATGCCCATGAGGAGGCAGACGATGGTGATGAAGGTCCGCGATGCCCTGAGGCGCCGGGGGCCATAGGCTGTGTTGGTGGCCACCCCGATGGCGGCCCCCAGCAGCACGCAGCTGCGGTAGAGGCAGCCCCCCCAGATGTCCAGCAGCGAGTTGAAGATGTTGAAGTGCCGCAGGTCCTGCAGGACATCCCGGCTGCTGCGGCCATGGGTGTAGAGCAGCGTGGTGACCACCACATCGGCCCCGCTGAGCACCAGCGTGCTGGCCACTGCCTTCCAGGCGCGCATCCTTGATGCTGGGCTGGGGTTCACCAAGGCAGTGAGGGGCAGCTCTAGCACAGGCAGGACATGGTCATGTCAGCTTCTGCTGTGGGGCGAGAAGTGGGACACAAGGTTGTTATTCACCCTGGGAAGGTGGCAGGGAAAGGGAAGCAAGATGGGAGGACAACCATACCAGCCCAACCTGACCCCAAACACCACTACTACTCCTTTCTCCCCTCCTATGCTGCATACGCTCCAAAATGCTCCATAAAACAAGAAGCACAAATGAAGACACGTTTCCCTCTCAGGTGCCTCTACCCATCCTGAATCCCAAAGCAGAAATCTGCACAGCTCAGTGGGAATCTGCATCCCTGCTTGCTGTGGTGGGGCCGGCCAGGAGGTCCTCAGCAGCTGGGTGATGGTGGGACATCTGTCCTGTGCTATGGAGCTGTGAATGTGTTAAACTCAGATACTTATGATCTGAGAGTCCCTCTCCACCTTTCCCGGCACAAAGCTGATGCTGAGCCCTCAATCCGAACCACATGAGAGCAGAAGGGAGAGCAGCTTGGCTTCATAACAGACCCCGCACCATCAGAAGAAGAAGAATCCCAGGTACAGCAGCCTGTCACACCTTGCCCTCTGGAATATTCACTTGGGATAACCCACTAAGCCCCCTGTGCTGGCAGCACGCAGTTCAGCCACACAACAAAAAAAACCCAGTAGATTAAAAAGGGGTCAGAAATCCACAACCGCATCCCATGGGAGAGGGAAGCTCCGGGGTGGAACGCCACCTTTACCGCCACCCATGGGTCTGGCTGGTGGCAGAGGTTAAACTGATGCAGGAAACGTGAAAAGCTCGCCTTGGTTTAAACCCCACCTGCTTCTGCACCATGCCCAGCGGTGCCACGTGTGGGCACGAGGGAGGGACCTGATCCTTGGACTCGTGCTGGCCAAGCAGCCCGTGACGGTGCACGGTGCGGAAGGGACGGCACAAGGATGCCATGCGCTGGCCACGCTCTGGCCGCAGCCACCTCCGCAGCCACCCAAAAGCAAACGATGGGGAGAAGGGCACCTCCCAGCACAGCGCCCATGGCCAAGAGCACGCTCGGTGGTTGGGCAGGTGGGATACAAGGGTAAGAAGCGGAGGAAAAGGTGGCAGAGGCTGCAGTGTAGGGAATAACGAAGGTCTCTGGGGTCGGGAGGGAAGGAGGCAAAGCGGAGCAGCGGTGTCAGGGAGGAGCTGGACACGCTTCCCAGGGTGCTCGCTGCTGCCATCCGCTGCAACGCTGCGCGGATCCGGCCCGGTGAGGAGGAGGAGGAGGAGGAGAAAGAGGAGGAGGGCGAGAAGGAAGAGGAGGGGGCGGCCACCGCAGCTCTCCGCCACCCGCAAAGGTATCCCCAGCTACGAGGGATGGAGAGGCCCAAGACCCCTGCCTCATCCCAGCTTCCCCATGGCCGAGATGCTTCTCCCACGGGAGACTCCCGGGAAGGGCCGTGCCCGCCATAGCAAGGGACACACAAACCGTTCCCCCCCCATCCATCCCCATCCCGTTCCCCCTCCGCAACGCAAAGGCAGGGCAGCCCCGGCCCCACCGGACGGCTCTTACCGGCGGCTGGAATGACCGGGAACCGTCCGGGATCAGCCCGATCCTGCCCGGCCCAACCTGCCGGCGGCGGCGCGTCCCGGGAACAAGGTCGGGAGAGGGCGTGGCCTATGCATGACCACGCCCCCCACCCCACCCGACCACGCCCCCTCGCTGCGGCGCGCTACTGGCGCCGCCCGCGGTGCCAGCGGGACACCCGCTATGGGGGTACCCGGAACCCCGTTACCAACACCGATGAACCCTGTCCTAACGCGCCCACGGCAGCCTCCGGAGTTTCCCCACCTCAGGAACTTTTCTCTTTGTGAAATTGAGCTATTTTTTGTATTATTGGATTGGGTTTATTTCACTTCTGCAGGTGGGGGGGGGGGAATACAACACAGGAGGTGGCTTTAAAGACAACCAGGACAAAGAGTCAATATAGTTTCTTCTATTAACCCCTAAATAGAGGTTTAAATTAGCCAGGGGTTTAAATGAACCTGACACAGAGACAGGTAATTTCCAACAATTCCACTTTAATCATTATTTTCCCCCCACTTCAAGTTCCCACACCAGTGCTCAGGCATCAGTGCATCCAGCTGGGCGACAGAAGGGCTGATCAGTGTTATCATCCCTGCGGTTCTGGAGCACCTTGTACCCTCATCAGTGCAGGAAGAGGCTATGGGATTCCCAGAATTCTCTCCATTTCTGGAGAGAACAGAACAGTCATGTTACAAAGCAAAACTTGATTTTTCTCTGCCTCAATCACTAAAAACATCACGTGCTATTGTCAGCTTTATTGCTGCTAATTAGTGCTTAAAAACAAAAAGCTCACTTCAAGCCATTCCCATGTCCACCATCAGCCCTGGTGCGACTCTTCCCCGTCCAGGCTGACAGTGGGGAGAAGAGTTTCAAGCTGTAGGAAACATGTGACAACGTGGCTAAGCTGGGTCTAGTGTCTGGTTCTCTCCCACTTGCACCCAGATGCCTCCCCAGGCATTCATGTGATTGCTCCCAGCATGGTAAAGGTGGAGCTTTGTGGCTTCTTTTGCTGCCAACATGCGAACAAGAACAGTGCCACTTCCCTGGACAGAGGGATGCTCCGAGGGCAAACCTGGACCGGGAAGGGACTGAACAGACACCCTTGTCTGAACCTTCCCCTTCCCTTCTCCCCAGGACAGAGCAGGCACATCTGCACCCTGGACACCCATGCAGCTGGGCCACAGACCTTGGGGACATCCGTGCTGCTGTCCCCAGCCCTGCAGGACCCCCTGGCAGCCCCAAAGGCTAACTGGTTTTCTTCACCCCAGCCATGCTCTGCTCGGGCGGCAGGACCGTCTCTATCTGGAAGGACACAAACTGGCCCTTCTTCAGCTTCTTCAGGGAGCTGGCAGCGTTGCTCCCGAACATGTTGTCCTCCACTTTGAAAGCAAGAGAGGGCAGGCCCCGGCTTTTCCTCTTCACACTCTTCCGCTCCCGCTTGTAGGCTGTGGTCATGTTGGCGATCACCTGGAAAGCAGAATTCTTGGGTTGGGCCTTGAGATGTTGCTTAAAAACCAATTCAACCCCGTCTTGCATGAGCTCAGGGACAGAAAACAGCACTGCAGCATGCGGAGCTCGGCTTGGTAAGCCATGGCTGGGCCAGTGTCAGCACCTGGGGCAAGGGAGGGACTAAGCAAGGTCTCTGCAGCCTTATTCTCACCAACCCCACACTAGCAGCCCTCACATTAAAAAGCTGTGGTTTCATGGCTGCACTCAGAGGAGCTGATAGCTCTCCATCAGTAGAGGGCAGAAGGGGATCTAGGCTGGAGTCACACAGAGCCAGGGGAAGCTTTTATTGCTTCCTGTTAATTGCAGCCCAAATCCTGGCCTGTCTGCAGGCAAGTGTTGGTGACCTAGACACCAGAGGTGCCCTTAGACAGGACAGAATGCTTCAGCGTTACCCAGAGCAAGCTCTCACTGCCCTGTGCCATGATGTGTATCTCTATTCACAAAAGGGGAGCTGAGCTAGTGAGTCTGAGCTGGGAACAGATCCCATGATCAGCTCCTTGGCCTCCTCTCTCCCATCCCACTTTACTCCTGCTATTCCTCAGCAAGAAGAATCACAGTCCAGGGGATCAGAGAGGACCACATAACCCTGTCCAAGTGCAAGAAATGACTGAGCAAAGCACTTGAGCCTCACCTGTGATTTTTTGGCACACAGATTGCCAAGCACATTACAGGGGACACTGAGGTCATTTACCAAGTCAGAAAACCAAGGAACAGAGACAAAAGGAGCTGCCCAAGGTCACCCGGAACATTAGAGACAGGCAGGAGCTGAATGCTGGCCTTTCTGCCCAAACCCAGCTCTCTGTTCACTGGGGCACTAGTCCTCAACTTCCTCAGTTTCTGTCCTCCTATTTTGGGGCCTGGTTACTTTTAACCTCTTAGTTATGTACCGTGTCCCTAAAGGCTTTTTGTCCCTAAGGACAGACTCCCTTGGCTGATCTCAGATGCAGATTACAAGGCAGGGTGCTGGGCAAGCTGGGACACAGCTCTCATTAGCCTTGATGGGGAAAGCCACCAAGCCAGTCCCTTGTATTTCATCAACCAGCTCTGAGCAGCAACACCACAGCTTCCCCGTGGCACTAAATGGTGCTAGCTCAAGAGGGTCCAGCTCTACTCCTGCTGCCCTTAGTTCCACTGAGGTGCCACCTCCTCTCAGACCAGGCCTGTGGAGTTTCAGGCAGTGAACTGACTTCTGCCTTGCTCCTTCAAGCTGGATGCACGGCCCCTCAACCTTGCTGAAGCCTGACAGCTCCCTGCTATGCTTGGTGACAGGAGAAAGCCTGCAGGCAAAGGAGAGGCAGCATTTCTGGATAGGGCAGGGGCTCTCTCTGAGTATGTGAGCAGGCACCATTCTTGTATGGGCAAATCCCTTCCATGCAGCTCTTGTACAGCCTGGTGCAAGGGACCCTGGGGGACTTACTTAGCTGCAAAATGATTTCAAGGCACCCCACGACTTACAATTTCTTTCACCATGTTCTGCTGCTCCTGAACCGCAGCTGTGAATGGCGGGAGGCTGTCTGCCTTTCCAGAGCCAGCCCCCTGCTCTTTAGAGTCCTTGACAAAATCCACCTACAAGGCACAGACATTTGGGTGTTACTCTGTAGCTGTACCAGTGGCAAACCTACACGACTCTCCTTTGTGGAGAAGTTACCTCGGACGACAGGCACACGTATCTGTTGAACATGAGGAAGAAGGGGGGGTACTTTGTGCTGGAGTTGACTGAGGTGCGGAAATCAAAGAGCACGGGGTCGAGGTGGGTGTCCCATTCACTGGGCTTCTCATTCACCACGCTGCAGAGGGAGGATCTGAGCACCTCTGCGCTGCGGTCGCCCAGGCCTGCGCAGTCTGCGGGGTCTGCAGGGGTGAGGGTCTGAGAGATGTTCCAGTGCTCACATAAATGCCGGCTGACCTGCAAAGAAGGGGTCATGCCCACAGGAGAACAAGGCAGGTTTGCACCCCAGCAGCTTGTATCCTCCACAAGACAGAACTACCCCCATGCCAGGAGGTGCTGCCCGGCAGAAAAAGCTCCCAGCAAAGTCAGACCTGAGACAATGTTCTGCAATGACTACTCCTGTGCTCGAGGCTTTCCACAGCAGTGGGAAGCTCGGTTAATCCTGGGGTAGGGCAGGAATATCATGGACATGATCTCACAGGATGTTTCCCTCGGAGGCTGCAGTGTGGCTGGAGGACTTGCACCACAGAAACACAACCTTAAATCCCTGACAGACTGAAAGCTGGCAAATCATCTACTGCTGGTAACAGGAACGGGGCAGGGAAAAGGCAGCATCAGCTCCTCAACTCCCCTACACATGGCATACTGCAGCTCTATCCCCCCCAAAAACCCATAACTGCTTATCTTTGAACCACCCAGCACCTGACCTACCTCCTCACAGAAGTCCCAGCTCTGACTGGCATAAATGTTCTTGGATGCTCCAAACCTGAACAAGAAAAGGACACATAACTGGTTTTAATTCCATCAGCTGCAGGGCAGAGCCAGAGGAGTTCGATCTGCACTGGTGATAATGGGGTATAAAAAGACAGAGACCCTCCAGCAGTTTGTGGTAAGGAGGCTGGCATGGCCTCACCTTGCCAAGAGCAGAGAGATATCTGCTGGCTCCACCTGTTCAAAACAGCCAAGCCTGCTTGCTTTTGGATGATAAAGCAAGGTTTCCTGCTCTGAATGTAAATCTCTGCTGGCCACATGCATTTTCCACAAGGACAATGTCACCTGGTGACGTGCACCATGTGAGTGCAAAATAAATGCTTCCCAGGAGGGATCAGGAAACGCCTTTAAAACGCCTGCAGAGAACTGGGGCATCAGCTCTATTGGCTTTGGGGCTACTCAGAGAACTACTTCTGCCTCTTTCTCCCCTCCCCTGGTAAGAGGAGAACAGGCTCTTCCCAAGGACTTTGTAAAGAACAACTAAGAGGCACCACATAGTGTCTCCTGTATAAGGGAGTGTTCCTGCTCTTGTGGGGAACCAGCTGGTGGATGCTGGGTATTTTTGCAACACACATCCCAGCACTCCCCATCTCACTGCAGAGGTGCAATGTAACCAACAACAGAGGAGCCCACCTGTAAAAAACTGCAGCTAGGGCTTTAGCCACTGATAAAGGATCTTTCTTCTGCAGAGGAGCAGCCTCAACCCACTTTGTGAAATAGTCAGTCACAAGGAGGATGTGTGTATTGCTTTGGCTTGTCTCAGGAAAAGGTCCTGCATAAACAAGCATCAAGAAAAATCAATGTGATGCCGTAATATCACCCCAATCAGGAAAGTCAATAACCCAGCCCAGCAAAGCAATCACTGCGAGAACAACCGCGACTCCGCTCTGCAATGTCATTTGGCCAATGCATTTCTGTGACCTTTGTCAGCAAAAATACGCCCATCACAGGCTCAGTTCTGGGAAGGAACGCACGCCCACAGCTCCCATTGTGTGTGGAGAGGGAGCAGAGCCGGTCACACGGATCAGGTTGCACCCTGGAAGGCTGCTGTGGCCTCTTTGGCACCTCCTCGCACAGACGCAGCAGCTCTCGCTCACGTGCCTGCGTGTGGCAGGCAGTAAGTCTGCCACGCTGCCTGCCTGCCTGCGAGCTACAGGGAAGCCTTGAAAAGCCTGTCTGTCAGCCCCAGACACTCACCGTGAATGTCTAAGCCCAGCACTTCCCAGGGTGATTCCGCTTTGACAGGCCTCGCTTTCCGCGATCCGTTCTTGTTGTGCTCCGCGTTCTGGCACGTTTCACACATTTTGATCTGGGAAAGGAAACAGACGTGTCAAAGGAGTTTAAACCATGCTGACGGATTCTGTCAGGCTCAGAGGGGACGGGTTATGGAGGGATGGGGTGCGCAGCACATCTGAGCAGCTTCCTGCTACCCAATCAGAACCGTGAGGGGCAAGAAAAAGAGGACAAAGCGCAACAAGCCAACAGAGCTCACATTTCACATCCTTACCTGACAGCTGACACAATAAACAGCTTTCACCATGTGGCCTATAGCCAAGACATTTCTCACCCTGGTTGTAGGCAGATATTTATTGTATTTATAACTTCTACTGCCAGCTAGAAAAAGCATCAGCCCCAGGATGCAGCATGGGCTGCTCGGACCATGCAATGCAACCGCACTTCTTCAAACCACACTATTGCAGAGCCCTGCTGCAGGGAGCTTTCAGCAATAACACAGGTGAGGCAAGCAGCCAAGGAGAATTAGCAGGAACGCCGAGCTCCTCCTGGTACAATAGTTTAGAGAACTGGGCAGCTCTGGGAGCAATCCAGACCGCTCAAAGCCAGACTCAGCAAGGCTGAAACCATCCCATCTTCCCACACTGGCCAAAACTGGCACAATGAGTCCTACCCACATGGATTTCCTGATGCTGGGGGAAAGACATCCAATCCGCCCAGCTGCCTCGGGGTGTTCCAAAAGCTTCACCTGCAGAGTGACCCTGCGCCTGTTTCAAAGCACCAGGCACTAGAAACAACTCTGTCCCTGCAGCAGGGCTCTTCTAGTTGCTCACTGGGGACTGCCTGAATGTCCTGGTGTCACTGACACAGGCAATGCTCTCAACTTACCCAGTCCACGACATCTTTCACAATCCCGAGCCAGTAGTACCGGCTCTGAATGCGGTGCACTGTCTTTTTCTGTCCCAGGTGGCTCCCGATGTCAGTGAAGTGGCTTTCCAGGAAGACCTGCCGCCTCCGTTCGGGATCCACGATCACCTCCCGCTTCTCCTCCTTCTTGGGTCCCACGTAGTAGAGGCAGCCACCTGCCGATGGGAGAGGTTTATGCGAAACAAGGTCCTCTCACACCCATTCCACCTACTCAGTCCCAGGGAAAGGGTCACTTTCTACAGCAGGAAAACCAGGTGAGACCCAACAAAGTGGGGCTGTTGTTTGGGTCCTTCTGCTGCACCACTGGAGAGACTGTTACACTGGGATCACCCCCAGACAAACCCAGTGACCTCTTTTCTGCACCCAGGACTGAGCAAACTCTGCTGCCATGGTCTTCCCAGGCCAGCTATGGCTTATCCTGTGCTGCAACGCCCATTCCGCACCCCAAAAGTGATGCCAAGGTACAGAAGATAGCACAGGGTGCCCAGACGGCTGCCCCATCCCTGGCAGTGCTCAAGGCCAGGCTGGACACAGGGGCTTGGAGCAAGCTGCTCCAGTGGAAGGGGTCCCTGCCCGTGGAAAGGGAATGGAAGTGGGTGAGCTTTAAGGTCCCTTCAACCCAAACCAGGCTGCGGTTCCAAGTCCTCCCCACGCTCTAGGGGCCTCCCCTTTGCCCTCACCCCCCTTTGAGGCCACCCCCGCCTCGGGGCTGTCCCGCGGTGCCCCCACCGTCAACGACGAACTTCTGCGCGTAGCGCTTGAGGTTCTTCCTCTTGATGGAGCAGAAGCTGGGCGGGAAGCAGCCCTCGGCCAGCAGCCGGTAGATGTCCTCGAACTTGCTGCCGTGGCCGCAGGCCTCGGCCGACACCACCTCCTCCTCCTCGGCCACCGCCAGCGCCGCCTCCATCGACACCGTGGGCCGGGCCGGGCCGGGCCCCGCCGCGCTCGCACGGGCTCCCGCGAGTGGGCGTGGTGCGGCCGTGGCTCCTAAGGGACCGTCTGCAAATGGCAACCCCGCAAACCCACCCCTGAACCCCGAGCGGGCTCAGCGCCTCCTTCCCTCCCCGGTCAGAAGAGGCAGCCGCCGATCCCGCCCGCTGCGGTGTCAGCGCCTTCTCGGGCGGCTCTGCCGCCGGGTCAGCAGTGACGGGGTGACGCGGTGTGGAAGTGCGGCCCCGTCCCCCCCCAACCCAAGGAAGGGGTGGGGGTGACGCGGCACCGAAATGACACAAAAACCAGCATAAAAAGGGAGAAAACGGGCAAGTTTTATCTCCCTTCGTTTATTTGTCGGGTCGGAATTTGCCGACGCGCCCTCCGCCCGGCCGGAAGCGGCTCTTCCCGCTGCACGGCGGAGCCGTTTGAGGCCTGGACCCGCACTTGGTGCCGCCGCCGCCATCCGCCGGTGGGAAACATGTCCGCGGGCCGCCCGTTCCTGGCCTGCGCCTGCTTCTTCTCCGACAACATCTTCGTGGGGCGCTACGGGCTGCACGTCCGGTACCGGGACGAGCGGCAGCTCCGCCGCGACTACGGGCGGGTAACGGCGGGGGTGTGCGGGGTGGGGTGGGGGGAGCGGCGGCCTCGGCCGGGCTGACGGGCCGCGTGTGTTGCAGGCGCTGCGGGAGCGGGGCTGCCGGAGCGAGGAGGACTTCGTGGGCGCCCTGAGGGAGGTGAGCTCGGTGCGGCCTTAACCCCCCCCCCTCACCCCCGGAGCGGGCCGTGGGCCCCGGAGCCTTGTCCGCATGGAAGCGGGATGGGCAGGCGCCGGAGGGAGCGCATTCCCCGCTGCGGTCAGGGCAGGGTTTGCGCTGGCAGCGCTCAACACGTTACTGAAGAGTCCTCCCGGGCCGCTCCCAGCTCTCAGTGTGGGCCCCGGTTTGTTTTAACTCGCCCGGTCTTTCGTTAATCGCTGTTAATGGGCGTCGTGAGATGGGATCACCCCGGCTGGGTTCACGCGAGGTCTGCGGAAGGAGGTTATGGGAAGAACTCTTCCCCCAGGGCGCTCTTTAAGGAGGAATCTGTTTCTTTGGAGGCCACGGAGCCGGCTCTAATTGCAGCGACGCTGAGGGGACGGGCGTTTAGGGGTTCTTGGCGGGATGATGACGGCACCAAGTCATAGCTGCAATTAAAGTGTCATTTTCTTAACAGGGTGTTATGAGCAGTAAAGAATTCGTCATTAGAATGGCGCAGAATGCTTGCAAACAGAATCAGTGCAGCGCAATAAGCACAGTTTATAACACAGCTGAACTTTGGATTCCTGGATCATAAAGGAGGCTTTCTAACTTCACTTTCTGATCACCCAGACCCTCTGCAGGTCAGGTCGGATACGAATACATGGCCTCGTGTCTCACTATTACCATCATAATGTAGACTCAAATGTCATATAAATCAGTGCAAGTCAGTCAGTCCTCAGAGGAAGCAGACAACAATGGGGGTATCCCTGACCATGGAAGGGTCACAGCCCTCACTGCCCAGCAGCAAACCCAGCCCAACTTCCCCACTTAGGGCTTGTAGCTGCTGATTTACAGGCACTGCTGTGGGTGCTGTTAGACCTCCCTGTTCTGTGATGAGATCAGCAGCATCTGGGGCCCTCAAGGCCAGTAAGGAAAGGAGCAATCCTGGTGGCCAGGAACCTTAAGGCTGGTAGGAAGGGGAAGAAGAAATCTGATTTGTTCACAGGACCTTCAGGGGCTGATAATGAGGGAAAAGGGAATGAATACATGAACCCCCTGGTGACAGAGAATGGCTGCTTCTCTTATAAAATGGTGTTATTCTAACCACATTACCAGGGATCGGGAGCACACCCTCCTTCCTTCTTTCCCCCCCCCAAGGAACGTTATAAACTAATCTCACAGAGGGTTATTAAATAGGAAGAACTGTCTGAATCAGCTGCTGCTACAGCTGTTTCCTCTGCAGTGACAGATCAGCGTGTCCACACAACACTTCGCAGTAATCCCTCCATGACAAGTCCTGTCTTCCTTCCAGCAAATGCCTTTACTTTGGACAACACTTGTATTGTCAGAACATCAGCCAGGTTCTTAAGCTGGCATTCCGGGAGGTATCTGAATGCCTGAAAGGCCTGAAAGCTCACAGCTCCATGTGACACATCCAGAGACAGACTTCAGTTGGTTTTTTCAAGCCATCTGTAATGAGAACTTGTCTCAAATCCCTCTGGGGCATTTGGCTTTTCAGCTGTTTATTTGCCTTGTCTTGACTACAGCAAAGCAAAGGCAAACCCTGTCTCCCAGAGGTGCCTGGAAGAAAAATAACTGGTTTAAAGCAATGAGTACATTCCTGGTACTGTTTTAGTCACCCCTTTTGACTTTCTAACAGCATCCTCTGCTGCTCACTTGTAGATTGAGGCAGAAGTGACCAGAAGAAGAGGGTTAATTCATCAGTCAGTGAAACGCAAAGCCATCATCTCACAGTGCTACGAGAGAAAACACCCAGAAGTGTACACTCTGCAGGTAGGCAGTGTGTTTGGAATCTGGTTTGCACCCAAAGGAGTTTATTCTTGCTGCAGGCAGCCCTCTTCTCCTCAGCACTACACTCAGTGCTAAAGCGGGGCTGAATTAAAGCTGAACTCTAGCATATTAAGACTAAATTTAAAGCTTTCACAGGACAGCGTGTTCTCCAGGCAAGATTCCACCTGGGCTATAGCCAGATAAGGGTCATTCTGCATTGAAGCTGCACCAGAATACCAGCTGTACCTAGAATACCATTAGTAATTTAAAGTATCATTGCAGCCAACAGGGTCAGTGGGGGTCTAATGAACAGCCACAGAAATAAGCCCTTATGGGCTGAACACGCACGTTACCTGTTACTGTCAGCTGAAGGGGGGGCAGCAGGCTGCTTGCACATATGCACCCCACCACAAAGGCAGGGTAGTCTGTCTTTCCTTTGCATATCCTCACGTTTGCCAGACCCAAGGCTTCCCAGATGGGTAATTACCACAGATCAACAGCAATGCACAGACAAGTCCACGCAGATTTCCTGCCCCGTGATCCTTTAGTGACAAGTTCTGACATTGTCTGTTCTGCTGTTGTCTCTCATGATCTGTGTGGGGGAGTGCTTAACACAGAGCATAGTCACTGGTGTGCTGAGGCCATGACAAGATGCTAAATCTACTAGGAACAACTTTGCATTTACCTATTAGGAGTCCATAATGTGAGCCGGGCTCTTTTCTGTCACACCAAGAATACATCTGGTCAGTTACACTTCAAACCCAGGAACCAGAGCAAGCAGCAACTTACCTAAAGCATCAAGAAAAACACCAGTAACATCCTGCCATAGGAGTAACCCAGGTGTGACTGTCATCAGTCTTGCTCCCTAGACTCTACCTATTTATGTGCCTGGAAGTCTGTTTCCCTGATGGGCTCTAAACTGCTCTACAGACTAATTGAGTTTCTGTGTATTTTCATCCTTCTCTTGATGCCAGGATTCATTCCTGTCCCCTGACTTCCTGGAAATCGTGAGATACTGCACGTCACCGGATGCTCATCTCCATGGCCTCCTGCGCTACCTCGAGTCCTTCTCAGGTAAAGAAAACAACACAAAGCCACAAAGGGACTCTTCATTAGGGACTGTAGTGATAGGACAAGGGGTAACGGGTTAAAACTGAAATGGGAAGTTTAGATTGGATATAAGGAAGAAATTCTTTCCTGTTAGGGTGGTGAGGCACTGGAATGGGCTGCCCAGGGAGGCTGTGAATGCTCCATCCCTGGCAGTGTTCAAGGCCAGGTTGGACAGAGCCTTGGGTGACATGGTTTAGTGTGAGGTGTCCCTGCCCATGGCAGGGGGGTTGGAACTGGATGATCTTAAGGTCCTTTCCAACCCTAACCATTCTGTGATTCTATGATCCCCCTGTGTGACACTGCAGCTGCAGTGCTCACAGCTGGTTTCAAGTCCTGTCTGTAATAGCTCAGATGTGATGCACAGCCGCGACAAACAGGATGTTGTTTTGTGCTTGATGAGCACCTCTGGAGAGGCAGCTTTGTGCATGGTTCTGCTCTGGGTAAGATGCTGTTCTCTGCTTTTCCAGTCCCAGTTTGCTGATGTCTCGTCAGAGGCTGCAGCCTGCAGCAGGGCTGGGGTTCTGCTTGTACCACAGCCTCACAGGGGAGCCTGCTGAAGGAACAGTTAGCGCCAGGAGCTTGGTTTTCCCTCCCCAGGTGCTTTACCATTTCAGACAATCCCTGTTGGTTAGTCTGAGCTGAAACTGTTTCTATCTAGATTTCATGCTTTTAGAAAGGGATCTGGGTTTTAAACTTCCCTGGAGGCATCTGTGAAGCTCCCTCTGTGCCAGAAAAGCTAACAAAATGTGGATGGGAAGTTGGAAAGTTGCAAAGTTGCTTCCTTTTCTCCAGGCAAAACGAAAGACACAAATGTTGTGTATGTGCAGGGCTGCTGGATTTGTCCAAGGCACGATTTCACAGCCTTTCCATGCTGTCCTTACCTCAGCTTCTGTATCCTCAATACCGAGTTCCCCTTACACAGACCTTTAGGGCTCTACCCTGAAAGGCAGATCAGAAAGCTTGGTTTTCCCAGAAGGCTGGCACTGGATGAGAAAATCCCACATCCCCCAAGTGACCTTGAGCAGCCTCCTCCTTCCACGAGGCTGCATTTGGGTGCCTGTGATGAGCCACTGGTTCACTGCCCTCCCTCTAGACTCTCTCAAAGCATTTCCTTGGCACACAGAGAAAGCATTTGGATCATCCTGGCTGGATGGGGAAGCCTGGAAACGAGGGCCCAACATGAAAAACCAGAAGCACATCCCAGAGTTGATCCCAGGGAATGGTTCCAGCCCTTTGAGCAGGCTGAGCACAAAGCAAAGCACATGGGTCCTGCGTTCTCCCTGTCAGGCAGCACGACAGCCAAGAACACTCTCGCCTGTTATTTTCCCCAGCAACCTGTGTCTCCTTTCTCTTGGCAGAGAAGAGGATCTATCGTCTCCCAGTGTTCACAGAGGAGTTCTGCCAAGCCTTTGTGGATGAGCTGGAGAACTTTGAGCAGTCGGATATGCCTAAAGGCAGGCCCAACACTATGAATAACTATGGGGTAGGACTCACTGTCTCTTGTGCTTTAGGGGGAGTGCTCACAAGCAGACTCCGTTCACCTCCTCACTTCATGCTCCTTTCCCTTCCAAATGCCTGTAATTTGAGCACAGTGCAGTTTGAATACAGCCCCCTTGAAGTGAAGGGGTTGAGGGAATGTGTCACACAGAGAAAAGGACAGGGGCGTGCAGGGAAAGGGGATGGGAGTTGGTATCTCAGAGCAAAGAGCACCTTGTATTAAAGCAATACCCATTTAAATCAAGGAGTCTGTTTTTAAAGAACTCTCAGCTTTTGATCTTACTCTTGTCTTTTCCCCATCACTTTCCACCTTGATCCTCCTCCTTTTGCCTGTAGCTGGAGCCTTTGCTCTGAAGTTCTTTATCTGAGCAAGCAGCAGGGTTAGGAGAGAACAAGACAGCTCTGCTGAAGCAGCAGATGTAGCTGATCAGCTCTTCCCATCTCCTCTCTTTGGGACAGGTTTTGCTAAATGAACTTGGGATGGATGAAACCTTCATCACACCCCTGCGTGAGAAATACCTGCGGCCCATAACAGCGCTGCTCTATCCCGACCTGGGGGGTGCCTGCCTGGACAGCCACAAGGCCTTTGTTGTCAAGTACTCACTGCACGAAGATCTGGATCTGAGCTCTCACTATGACAATGCAGAAGTCACCTTAAACGTTTCACTGGGCAAAGACTTCACAGAAGGCAACTTGTACTTTGGGGATCTCAGCCAGGTACTCGGTATATTCCTATCTGCACCCTGTTTCTATTTCCCTCTATCTCCTCATCCCCCCAGTTTCAAGGCATTGAGTGTGTGCTATAAAACAGTTCTTAATTTCTGACAGTCAAACCAGCTCTGTTCCTTCCCCCTATTTAAAAACATGTTGGTTGTACAGGAGCCCTTGTTCTCCTACAAGCACATTACCAGTATTGCATGGTTTAGTGGGAGGTGCCCCTGCCCGTGGCAGGGGGGTTGGAACTGGATGATTTTAAGGTTCTTTCCAACGCTAACTATTCTATGATTCTATGAACAAACCAGCCCATCCTTTCACAGCTGAAACAGTGAGCAGGGAGGTGCTGAGAAAGCAAGCAGGAATATATTTCAGATGAGACTTAAATCTGTAGCCCCTATTTCCAGAGGACTCCTGGCAATAAGAGGGGTGAAAGCTCCCATACACTGGTGAAACAGGTTTTTGGTTGAAACTCTCTCTTTAAATTCCCTCTGGGGAAACAACTGTATTAAACTGCTGCCAAGCCCCCACTGAAGTGGCTGCGTTCCAGAGGTGCAGCGAGTCTTCTCCGTGTTGCTCACTGGGTGCTGAGGGTGAAGGGGTCACAAGTACAAGTTCCAAGTGTTTGAGCACTGTTTTGCTAGGGATTTTCTGGCATGATGCTGTATCCACCTCCCGTTCCTGTTCCAGGATCCTACCCCCGTGCCAAAGTACATAGAGATCGAACACGTGGGAGCCCAGGGGCTGTTACACCGAGGAGGGCAGATCCATGGGGCGCTTCCCATTGCCTCCGGGGAACGCTGGAACCTCATTGTTTGGATGAGATCGTCTGCCATCCGCAACCAGCTCTGCCCCATGTGCAACAAGAAACCTGAGCTGGTGGAAGCAGAGGGGTTTGGAGATGGCTTCACAGAGACCCTTAATGATGATGTGCCCGGAACTGTGGATCTCTGTTCCTTGGGGTAGCAATGATAGAGCCTGAATTCTTCAGACCAAGTTTCCTTTCTGACCTCTCAGACTCTTTGATGGATGCACAAGTCATGTAAGGAGCGCTTTACCACCTTGGGAAGCGGTGCAAACCCGGTCCTGCTGGGTTAGGGAAGCCTCACCTGCTTGGAGAGCTGGAAGAGCTGGTGCTTGGCTCACACTCAGGCTGAAGGACTGCTTGAGAGACACACAAAGACTTGACACGGATTCACTGCAGAGGCTCTGTAAGTATTGTCAGGTGTACAAGGAGAGCACCCAAAGGTGTTTGGCCTCTGTGAAGACCTCAGTGCCAACAGCAGCATCGCGGGTCCTGCTGTAAGTGGGAAAGAGCAGCGCAATAAAGCCCTGTCCTTAGCATCCAGGGAAGAGCTTTTAGTTGCTAAGTGACAGCAAAGGAACTGCTCAGAAGTGAGATACAGGCGATGCACAGTGGGCTGCTGGGAACAGCGTAGAATCATCCTCACCAGGGGTTTACCTGAGCCAGACAAATCAATCCCTCAGGAGCAATGCAGGGAGTGCTCACCCCACAGGGTGACCAAGAGGATGCCAGGGCCTCCACAAGCTCTTTTGGACTGAAACTGCCCTTTCAAAGGTAGGGTGAACCTTACAAAGGAAGCACAAACGGGCTTTGGAGACAGCTTGGGGAGCCCCCTGCGACTCAGCAGCGCTTGCTGGAGGAAGGCAGGAGCATACATTTAAATCTCTTGCTTCAGTTACGTGAGCAAGTGGAGGTGTAAAATAACCAGGGTGCAGCCTGAGGCTTCTTTTTGGGATCAAGCCTCTCTAACAGCTCTATATTAGGAGGGTCAAGTGCTTTCCTTGTCTTACTGTTGAAATCACAGCCTCTACAGACCAAATTAAAGGATATTAAAGATATCTTTTGTTTTAGAGGCTGCGTTTGGCTCTATGGGACATTAATGGAATACATTTGCTGTACACGCACCCTGCTGCACGTAGAAGGAGCTTTTTCATTTATTCACCTGCAATAATTACAGCGCCTGGGCCAAAAGGTGCCGATTTGAACCTTCCCGCTGTGTTTTTTAGGGGATGCCATTAGCACAGAGCACCGATGAGCTTTTCATCAGCAAACCCCATTCCATTTGCATCTGGGGAAGGGAGCCAGCTGTGTTCGTGCATGGACCCAAAGGGCTGGGCTCAAGACACCCAGACATGAAGTCTTTGTTTCCCTCAGCAGAAAACGGCATCGGTTCCCAACCCGCCCCAATTTGGCCCAAACCCGAAGCTGAAAGCTGAGACCAGCCCGGACCCGGCGGGTCCCGGAACCAAAGAGCGCGGCCCGGCTTCCGGTCGGACCCGCTCACGGCGACCGGAAGTGTGTGTGTGGGGAGGCAGCGCGGAGCCGGCGGCGGGTGCTCCGCTCGGTGCCGGCGGGGCCCGGCCCGGCCCGGCCGTGGTGAGTCCGCGCTCCCTCCTTCCCTCCCCCTTACCGATCGCCCTCCTCTTACCTACGGCGGGGCCGGAGCGTCCAACGGGGCCGGGGGCACCGGGGAGGGGGGGAATGAGCGGGAGAGCGGCCCGCTCGCTGTGGTGGCTCTCGATGGGGGGGGGGCTGTTAAAGAGCTGCACTCTTAAAGGGGTCGCGCCTTGAGCCGGGTTCTTAAAGGGTCAGCACACCTGGGGCTGAGCTCTTAAAGGGCCAGCACACCTGGGGCTGAGCTCTTAAAGGGCCAGCACACCTGGGGCTGAGCTCTTAAAGGGCCAGAACTCCTGGGGCTGAGCTCTTAAAGGGTCAGCACAGCTGGGGCTGAGCTCTTAAAGGGCCAGAACACCTGGGACTGAGCTCTTAAAGGGCCAGAACACCTGGGGCTGAGCTCTTAAAGGGCCAGAACTCCTGGGGCTGAGCTCTTAAAGGGTCAGCACAGCTGGGGCCGAGCTCTTAAAGGGCCAGAACACCTGGGACTGAGCTCTTAAAGGGCCAGAACACCTGGGGCTGAGCTCTTAAAGGGCCAGCACGCAGCAGGCTCCTTGTTCTGGAGCCAGAGAGAAGGGGCTGCTTCTCCCATTGCAGCAGCCAGGCTCCCAGCTCCCAGCCAGGGGCTGGGCCCGGGTGAAGCTTTGGGGGCAGGAGGAGCAGCTCGCTATGGCCATGAACCTGGTGGAAGGGCAGAGGCAGGACCCCAGTTTCAGGCCATGACCAGCCCGTGTTGCTGCTCTGATGGATTTGGGGCTCATCCCCTTCCCACGGCATCACCCCGGGATGCTCCATCTGCACCCAGCTCCACATCCATCGTATCAAAGTGGGTCCTGTCGCCATGGCCATGGATGGAGCAGACCCAACACCCAAACACGATCCCACCTGTGAGGTGCTGGTGCGAGGGATGGCTCCTGGCTGCGTGTCGGTGAACAGCTCATCCTCAGACACTTCCTTGCTTATCCTTGGTTGTTTTGGGCTTCTGCTTTGTGGTTGAGGTTTCCACTTAGAAATCAGTCAAAGGTGTGAGTCACCTGGGAGCAAATTGTTCCTTGGGAATGCCGAGGTGGTAAACATGCAATTAATGAAGCGTGGTAGCATCCATCACAGCATCTCTGGCCTGTGGCTGCTGGCACCCGGGGGGCTGATGGATGGGGGTCACAGCTCCATGTGTAATGTGCTTTCCAAAAGCAGATTGGGCTGTTAAAAATTCATCCCTGCCCTTGCCTTGTGCCTTAAATAATGGGGGATTGAGTCAGTGTTCGGTGTGGGGAGGATGCTTTGCTCTCCTGCCTGGCACCGCAGCATCCATCGCACCTTGAGCTGCCCGTCTGTGGGTGCTGAGTCCTCCCCACAGCTCCCAGCCCCATGGGGCAGCCAGTGGCTGCTGGGGGTCATCCATATGGCACAGCACTGCAAACAGTGGGCTTAGCTCCCTGAGTGGGACTCAGCCCGATTCCTTCTTATTCAACCCATCTAGGGACAAACACGAGAAGAACGTGGAAAACCTGGTGGGGGCTTTTCCCAGTAGGAAACCTGCATGGGGATGGTTGTCCCAAGGCAGGCGAGGGCTGCCTGGGGGTGTCAGTGCTGTCCCTGTGCAGCCCCAGCTCTCCTTTGAGGGCTCTGCTTTGTGGGTTGGTGAAACTCAGTTTGGCCACGGCTGTGTGATGGGTAACCCCGAGCTATCGCTGCCCAGCACGAGCAGAGAGGGAGTGGAGCAGGAGCAGGGCTTGAGGGCTGGTTGGTTCAGGGTTGGGTTATAAGGTGTATGGGGCTGTCAGTGTGTTGCTGCTGGGCGAGGGTGGTCTCCCTGTGGCACTGAATCCCTGTTCCCCCAGGGGCTGGTGCGCCATGGCTCACAGCCAGTCTCGGAAGCGGTCACGGAGCAGGAGCAAAAGCAGTTCACGGAGCAGACAGGAGAGGAAGGAGAAGAAAAGGAGGAAGAGCAGCAAGGACTCGCAGCAGGGCAGCAGCTCCCCTCCGAGGAAGCGGACGTCTGGGTGTCACAGGCACAAGTCGAGCTCAGCAGCAGCTAAGGAAGGTGGGGGAGAGGCCCGTGACCCCCTGCTTTCACCCCATTTTCTGGGTGCAGCAAGGGCCTAGGTGGGAAAAGAGGGTTTTGGTTTTAGCCACATTGGTGTCTGCCCCCTTGCTGTGCAATCTGTGCCCGTTTTAGTCTGGTTCTGACAAGTGCAGAGCCCTGCAGCCCGTCCTGTGCTGCTCTGGTGGTGTGGCTCCACACTCTGTGATGTGATCAGGGTCTTGGCTGCGGCCTTTGCTGTTCAGGCATGACAGGAACCAAGCTGGGACAGGGGATAAGCAGCATCCCTGCTGCTGCAGGGCCAGGGCACTCAACCTCTTCTTACATACTGCAGAAAAGAAGAAGGAAGGAAAGGACAAAAAGAAGAGGAAGGCAAGTACCTCTTCTTCTGAGCCAGCATCTTCATCCACCAGCTCCTCCTCGTCTTCCTCTTCCTCCAGCTCCTCTTCTGGTGACTCCAGTGACAGCGACTCCAAAACAAAGAAGAGTCGACACAGCAAAAAAAAGCGAGCCAAAGACAAGGACAAGAGGAGGAAGAAGAAGAAGAGAATAAAGAAGAAGTCAAAAAAGAAGTCAAAGGAAAAGGCTAAGGAGGAGAAAGCCAAGGGAGAAGTGGTGCCCGGCCCCTCACTGGAGCAGTGGCAGAAGGAGTCTCTGGTGGACGCTGGACCAGGTAATGATGGTGTTTCCCTCCTGCTGAAGCCAGTGCACCCAGGCATCCTGCTGGGGAAGGATGCTCACAAAATGCTCTTCCTGGGATGCGTGTGGGGTGTCTGAGGAAAGCAGGGCTGTGCACAGGGAGGAGCCCCAGGCTCTCCTCCCTCCTATGAACCGTGGCCACCTTCAGGCCACCTCAAGCAAACATAAGGGGCCACATTCAAAGACTGCTTTGTGTTTAGATGTCATTTATAGATGTGAGCGGGAGGCAAAGGTGCCAGATGGAAGGACACAGCACTAACACACTGGCTTTGGGACTGGCTTTGGGATGTGAAGTGGCCCTTCCTGTGCATGGTTCATCACTGAACCCCGAGGACCACCAGGAAACTGGTGCACGTGTGACTGTTCAGGCGTGGTGCTGTGCCCCTCAGCAGGAGCTGGCCCCTGTCATGGCTCTAACTGATGTATTCCAGTTTTGACAGATGAACAAAAGTCCCGAATCCAGGCTATGAAGCCAATGACAAAGGAAGAATGGGATGCGAGGCAGAGCGTCATAAGGAGAGTGGTGGATCCTGAAACAGGGAGAACCAGGTATGATCCCTGGGGAAGACGGGTTCTCCATACACATCCATGTCATGTGGGTTGAGTCCTGGAGGATGCCCATCCATGGCACTGCAGTACCATGCATGGACCCAGGTCCCTTTGAGCAGCAAAGGCTGATCCCTCACAGACCCCCTCCCGTCAGACCTGCTGTAACCTCCCCAGAAGTGATGTGTTTGACACCAAATTGCACTGCGGCTCCATGCGAGGAGCACCAGGCTGTGTCCCAGCCAGGAGCTGTGGGATGGCGGCACAGAGCACCCTGCTCCTGGAGGCAGGAAGTTTGTTCCTTGTGCTGTGACAAGTTCAGCTTGTCCCTGTTAAATGGGACTGTGCAACGGGGGCAGAACAGGAAGCAGGGGGTGACTGACACCTCCTCACCCCACTGCCTCCTGCACCTGGCCCCAGTTAGCACCGAGGTGCAGGTGAGGAGGGTGTGTGTGCCCCTTGGGGTTGCAGACAACACTGAACCCAAGTTCATTTGGCTGCCAAATAGAAATGACCCAGTTTTTAATAAACTGCATCTTCCCAGCAAGCAGCAAAAACCACGCTGAGGAGAATTGGGAATGACAAGTCCAGTCTTTAAATAGAAGGCAGCCTGCGGGGCTCAGGGAGGTGTGGAACAAAGGTCAGTTCCCTGCAAGGCGTGTAATGAAGACAATTAAGTTTCTGCTCATGGCTGGAGGTGTGAGCTGCTTGGGATTTGCTCAGCGAGATGCTCTCTGGTCTGGCCTGGCTGCCTTTCAGGCTCAGCCTGGCTCCTCTTTCTGAATGGCTCAGCACGTCCCTGGAGCAGCCAGGACCAGACCTGAACCTGTGTGAGAAAAGAAGAGGTTTTGTAGGGGTTGGGGTTGCTGCTGGTGCCAGTGAAGCCTGGGGCAGGGATGGGTGCCCTGTGCAGGGGGAGGCTGATTTCTGTGGGACCACATCTGTCCTTGCTGCAGTGTGGTGACATCAGTCCCTCAAGAGCCATGGAAGAGCCTGACATGCTGTTTAAGCAACAGAAGTCACATAATAGAACTTCAGGGATGGGGTCATCGTTGGCCTTACCTGGAGGTGCAGCAGATCAGCACTGGGTCCTGGGCATGTACCTCTATGAAGGAGCTGGTGGCAAAACACTGCCTGCGGGGGGATCAGCACCATCTGGGAAACAGCGTGGCTGGCGGTGGTCCTCACGGTCCGTGGCCTGTGCTTGTCTTCCAGGCTTATTAAGGGAGATGGAGAAGTACTGGAAGAAATCGTCAGCAAGGAGAGACACAAGGAGATTAACAAGGTAATGGGAACGTGCTGCCAATGAGCAGAGGGTCGGTGCAGCCGGGGGCCTTCTGCCCCTGGAGGTGGTGCTTTTCCTCCCTGGCTCTGCCAGGACAAACTTGAGCCCTGGCAGCGGGTGGGTGCTCTTGGTCCTTCCTCCTGGGGCAGGCGATGTGGTGAGCACCCGTGTCTCCCCCTTTGCAGCAAGCCACCCGAGGGGACGGGCTGAGCTTCCAGGCGAGGACGGGGATGCTGCAGTGAGCACACAAGCACCAGCAGTGCTGGGAGCCCGTCCTGTGCTGGAGCCGGCCCCAGTGTGAGCCTCTGCCTCTGGACCACACAGACAGCACCACATCAAGATGCTTCCCCAGGGGCATTTCCAGCTGCTCTGTAAGTTACTGACTGGGAAGGAGAGCGACTTTAATGGTGCATCTCCCAGTACACAGCTTCTCCCCTCCCTTTCCTGACTGAGGCCAGCGTGGCTGTGATGTCCTTGAGCTCTGCTTGCCCTTTTGAGGCTGGAGCTCTGCAGCAGCCAGGGGATGGGCTCACTGGTGCTGAGCACCTCAAGGAGCTGCTGCCCCTCAGCTCTGGGCTTTAGCAGGTGGGAGCCAATGCTGTGGCCAGTACAAGGTGTGCTCCAGGGCCACAAAATCTGCAGCTAGCTGCTGCTTTTTACCTTCAAGGGCTGCTCATGGCTCCTCCCTTGCTGCATCCGCATGGCCTGTGCTTACCTGGTGCTGCAGGCTTGCAGGCACTCAGCCAATCCTGCTTAGAGAGGAGCAGCTGTGCTGCTGCATGGCTCTGCTCACGCACCTTCAAGTGCCACCCTTTGCTGTGTCCCCAAGGCTTTACTCAGCCTTTGCAGCTTCATCTGGGGTGCTTTGCAGGGGGGTGGTTTTGCCTTGCTGTCCCTGCATGCAACTTGTGTCCCTTCCCCACAGCACAAGGCCTGGGCAGCACTGGGGCTTTGGGCTTCTTTAGGCCCATGAGCACTGTGAAGCAAACAGCCAGCCTTTCCCCCACTGTGAACTCCAAAAACCTACCCATTGTAAAACACCCAGAAAGAACAAAAGGATTAAAGGACAAATGGGTCCTGCAGGACTGATCCGCACGGTTTCTATGTTCTGTTCATGGCTGTAACCCCATTAAACTGGCGCCTGCTCACTTGGGTTTTGCGACTTGTCTGTTTCTAGAGTCTTCCCCCCCCCCCCCCATTAAAAAGGCAGACAGAGGAGAGCCTTCCCATTTCTTTAATCTGTGTAACTCACAATGCTACTGTACACAAAGCACACCCAGGCATTGGAACGATGCACGAACAGCAGGGAGGAGAAGGAAGTCGTACAGAAGGGTTTGTCACACACAAGCGAGTCATGGGCACGGTGCTGTACACCCAGGGGCGTACCCAGCGCCCTCGGGCACGGCCTCCGGCGTTCCCCGCTCGCCTCTGTTACCCCTAAAGCAAGTTTTTATAAAGAAAAATAGAACTAACATCCTCGGAATATAAAATCGACGGTCGAGGGGGTATCAACAGGCAGAGAGGGTGCTGAGGAGGACAGGGAAGGGGACCGTAAGGCTTCTAGAACTAATAGGAAATGCAGCAAACAGTGGCGATACCTGAAGAAGGGGCTGCTGCAGCAAGCACGGCGGTCGTCACCCTTTGGCTAGGTTCCTGCTCTCGGCTCGCGTATCGGACACTGTAAACGTTTTTGGTATCAGGATTGTGCCTCATCGTGACGGAGGGATGTGGGAGCCCAGCAGCCTGCCCCGGAGGGAACGCACGGGCTCCTTTTACTCTTAAAGGACTTTAAAGGGACAGCGTCAGGTAGAAAGTGTGGCCCGAGAGCGCAGTAATACAAAAAGCTGCTTTTCGTTATAAAACCTCTGAGCTGCGCAGCAAAGTTTGATTCCCATGGAAACAATGGAGAACAAGGGAAGGCTGAGGCAGCCTGTGCAGCGCGGGCTGCCTTGTGCTCGTGTGGGAGAACACGACGTGGGCTGCAGCAGGAGCAGCGCGACCGTCGCCGGTCGCACCCAGGGCTGCGCAGACAACGGTGAAGGGAGGAAGGAGTACGAGAAACTTCGGGTTCTTTTCATTGCAAACAAGTGGTTTGTAACAAAAGGGAAGATTAGGTCTTTAAACCTGACAGTGCCCCTTTATGGAATATACAGTCATCTTCTCCCTCACTGCATCCAGATGGATCCTCTTCCATACAGGTGGAAAGGCATCGGGTCACATGCATTGCTCTCCAAAACAGCTCGGAACAAACAGGTTATAAACACAGAGTTAAACTATTGCTATTGTTCTTTGAGTGAGTAGCATGTTGATCTTTGCTTCAGATAGATGAGTGCCAGATGGGGGCGGCTGAGGATAGATTGATGTAGAGACTGTGATGGACTGAATCGGTGGAGGAAAACTTACTGGTGTGTTTCCTGGTAACTACACCCACCTCCTCTGGTATTATTGCAGCAATAAAGGTCCTGCTCTACAATTGCTTCTCCGTGTTGGATCCATACAATGGCAACAGATGGGGGGCCAGGGAAAGGACCCGGGCAAGTTTCAAGAAGCTCAACAAAGGATGAGGACGGAGGTGCTATGATTGTCAGTCTAACTGGTTAGTAGCCATTTAAAACATGGAGTGATGGAGAGGTGAGTATAATATTGCACTTCTGCATTCATTGACGTTACATTAAACTTGGTCCATAAAATAATTGCTTTGTACATAATGCCTGAAACAAAAAAGCTACATTTTTAAATATTAATAAACCCTGAAGGTTCCAGTCCCTCCAGACATTTGTGTTTTTTTTCCTCTACATAAATAAATAACTTTCAATTTTATATATCCACTTTTTATGTTGAACATTTACATTCGCCTCTGTTTTACACTATCTACACATCAGAAAATGTGAACATCTTGTAATGTACAGACCATGCCTCGGTTGTGGGCTTGGAGGGCAGCTGAATTTTGCAAAGGCCATATCCAAATTTGCAGGGATTATTGTGTGATGTGGTTTGGTGACTTCACAGGATGGATTTGTGGCTTGGCTTCCTACTCAGATGGCATCTGTTGGATAGAACGGCTAGCAAAAAGCTGGGACAACTCAGGTTGGTTTTCAACCCAGTCAAGCTCTGGATGTACATTCGGAGAGAGCTGAACCGAGTCGGCAGGAAGGGAAGTCAGTTTTCGGTAACAAAAGTCATCAGGTACATTCTGCACTTGAATCATTATCAAAGAGAAGTGCTTAAACAGTTTGCAGTCAAGGCTGCAGGACATGGGAGCTGCAGTGGGCAGCGGGTGGGCAGCGGGTTCCAGTGCTCCAGCAGCAGCTCAGCACTGTCCCCCCTCCGCCTCCGCTTCGACCCCGCAGCGCCACGAACACGAGATCTGCCTCGGGTGTCTGATGGGGTAAGATTTGCCTACCGTGGCGCAGAGCCAGTGAGCAGAGCAGCGTTCACAGTGCTGTGTATCTCAGTGCGGCCGTCCTGCACTTCGGATCGAAACAGGTAATAAAATGAAGCAGCCAGTCTACAAAATTCTCTGTTACAAATAAGATCCTCAGAAGTAGAAAGTGATATAAAGACAGGGAAGGGTGGAGGGGAAAGCGGGGTTGGTTACACGCAGGCGGGGAGCTCGGTAGGACTATAAAATCTCCACGGGAAGAGGCCAACTGGAGCCTGGAAATGGGCACCACGGGGTGAGTGCCCCTCTGCCCCGAGAGGTGTGTGCGAGGAGGGAACTGGACCCATCCCTGGGGCCAGGCTGACCAGGAGGGACAGGACTAAAGGGCTTCTGGTGAGCCCTCGCTCTAGGCACTGTTCTCCTCCACTGCTGCTGTTCTGTGCTGCTCGCCCTGCACACCCACGGCTCCCCTCCTTCATGCACCCAGCCCTGGCTCGCTCCAGCAGCACACAAACCATCAGCTCAGGCACGTCCACTGAGAAACACACCAGGGAATTATAAGATATGGCCTTTTCTTAAGGTTGCCTGATGTTGGCACGCTTCCTTACAGTCTCCTTACTGCTGGGAAAACTTCTGCACAGATTGGTTTTATCCTTTGTAAATATATACATATATATATGTGTGTGTGTGTGCATATGTATATGCACATTATGTATATAATATATACACACACACCCTGGCTTAGCAATAGTTCATTGTCATGCACTACAAACAGTTGGGTGTAGCTACATGAGATGGTAACAGGTTTCCATTCTAAAAATCATCAGTGCAAAAAACAATGAGGTTTTACAGTTCAGTAACTACAGGTAAAAGAAGCAGATCTGGTTTCCCATGAAAGCTGCTACTGGACTCGGAGAGAACCTGGGAAGAAGAAATCGTCTCAGAGGTGGGTGTTGAGAGAGTCAGACCCTGCATTTGGCTGAGCAGAACTGCAACGCAATGTAGCTGCTGAGTGCCTTCAGCTGCTTCCCAATACATGGTGGTTAGTGTCAGAAAGGATATATAGCGAGAATATCTGGAGACTAACAGCAAAGTAAGTGTCTGAGGTTTGTAACAGCTCAAACAAGATAGCTTGGATTCCTCTTTTAATAGGTCAATGCATTGAATTCCATCGGCTTCTAAAAGGTCTCTTTAAAAAATAACAGTACTAGCAGTAACGACCCCACTTTTTTGGGTGTGAATCTGCCGACGTTCTGCCCCTACCAACAGCATCCACACATTTTATGCTTTGCCACTGCACGTTCTCCTTGAGAAAGTGGCTGCACTTGAAGCTCTTTGCACAGGTAAAGCTCTCGGTTGCTCTGCCTGGCACAGCCCATGATAAATCCCTTGCCTGGGGACGTCTGTGCCAGGAAACAGCGTTACCGAACCCCAAGCCCACCCCGTGCTGGTACCAGCAGAGCAGTCTGACTCCTGGGACAACCAAGAAGTTCCCCAGCCTCATCCCCTGTTCCTGTGGCTCTGAGGACAGCACTCGGTCACGCATATCGGAGCGATGGCTAACAAGGCGAGGAGGCACGTATTTACAGTCACTAAACCTGGATAAGAGAAGGAGGCAGGAGAGAGTGCGATCTTGACCTGGAGACTTCCCCCCCCAATTTCCAGCTGTTCCTTGGGCTCATGCTGCACAAACCTGACGCTCCCGCTGTAAGGCCTGCACGTTCTGCACGGGAACCATCCCATCTCTTCCCAGAATACCATGATGTTATTAGAGTAGCACCATATTTACCCTTCCAGCCCGTAACACCGGCCTCATCCCTCTTTTCCTTTTGTTTTCTCCTCCGGTGGCTGCAGCCGACAGTCGCTGGCTCCGGCCTGGCTACTTCTGCCCCAGGAGGCCAGACTCCAGGCGGGATGCTGCGCTCCGGCCCCAGCACCCCGTGGCGATGCTCATGCTTCTTTGGCTGCGTTCCCTGTCCCTCTCCCTGTCGCCGTCGGACTGGCTCTGGGTGCGCTCGGGGCGGTGGCCGGCGCTGGTGGCCGAAGGCTGGGAGGAGATGGTCCGCAGGAGGTGGTTCCTCTTGCGCAGGAACTCGGCCTGGCTGGGCAGCCCGAAGCTGCCCTTCCGCAGCGCCATGCGCGTGGTGTTCTTGGCAGGGCGTGCGCGGTGGTTGTACTCCAGCTGGGCCAAGTGGGCTGCGTACCCCTCCGTGATGAACTGCGGGATAAGAGGGATGAGGGCAGGGTTAGGCACATCTCCAGTGACAACCAAACACCTTTGCCGTGGCGGGTCCTCCAGGCATGGAACCGCTCAGACAGATCTCTGGGGCCCTGCTACGTGGGACGGTTCCATCCTCCTGGCAAACACGACCTCAGTCACCGACGATGACCAAATTCCCATCGCCCTCCCATGGGAGACCCTTGGCAACTCAGACAAGCTGGCTCCTACCTGACACTGGCTCTGCAGCTTCTTGGTGGGTCGGCCAACGATGTAGATGTGGGTGGGCGGGAGGCTGATGGAGCTGTACACAGAGATGTCCTTAGTGGATCCGTATGCTGCATGGATCCTCATGTGGAGCTGCAGGGAGAGAAAGCAACACGTGGTCAGCACATGCAGGAGCCCCACGCTGCTCAACAGGCAGGGCTTTGGTTTTTAATAGCATTTGTGGGAATCTCAGGTCAGTAACTTATGTAAGTTCCCAGCTGGAGAAGGCACCGCTGTGCAAAGCACTAATTAACAGAGCTGGGGATGTTCACAGGCCAGAA